CTTCCCCATACCCCATCTAACCCTGTCCTTTGGCAGTGGGAAGCCATTCCCCCATGTCCTGTCATGCTATGCCTCGTCCAAAGTCATTCTCTTGCTCTTCTGGAGCCCTTTAGGCCCTGGAAGGGGTTCTGAGCTCTCCTTGGAGCCTTCTCTTCCCCAGGTGAACACCCCCATCTCTCCCAGCCTGGCTCCAGAGCAGCGGGGCTCCAGCCCTGTGGTCAGTGTCGTGGTCTCCTCTGAACTTGTTCCCACTGATCCACATCTACCTTGTGTTGGTGGCCCAAGAAGTGGAGGCAGCTGCAGGCGGGGTCTCACCTGAGCAGAGCAGAGTGGAGGCAGAAGAGCAGCCTCATGAGCTCTTGCTGGTGGAGAGTGGGGAGCAAGAACTTCCCTGTGTTCTGGCCTGGCTGAAGTCATTTCACACCGGTGCTGGTGACCAGCAGTGGGTGACACAGTCTAAGCTGACTCCTGCTTGCACGTGGGAATGGCAGGATGTGCTGCCTGCACAGCCCAGGGTCACCCCGGTACCACCAGCTGGCTGAGGGCTGAGCTGCCCAAAGGTGGGCAGGGTGGCACCAGTAAGGGCCACACCAGCTGCTAGGAAGGGAGATGGAGTGGTGGAGGATTGTTTTTACTTTTATTTTTTTAAAAAGAATTTAAAAAAAAAATGTTTTTACTTTTAATTTTTTTAAAAAGAGCCAACTTAGTGATTGGTAGAGTGGAAAGACGTGTACACTGTTAGAGATGTGGTGAAAGGCACTTCAATGAGCATTCGCCAAAGAGCTCATACTCTGGATTTATGGCCTGCAGAAGAAATGGAAAGGTGCTGGTTTCTGTTTCCTGCACATCTGCAGATCCATAACCTTTCACTCTTTCTCGGGCACCTCTTTGGTCAGTACAGAATGTGCTCTCTGTTTATGCTCCCTCCTTCCCCTTAGCAGCCCTGCAAGGAACACAGCTCAGAGAGGCTTCAGGCTGTGTTTGCTGCCATGGGCTCGCAGGGGCTGCTGTGGCCTGGGGAGCAAAGAGAGAAAATCCCTGCTCCACGACCAGCTTGTGCTCAGCTAAATTCATTCCCCTGACTGCCTGTGGAAGGGCTCTGTGCCCCGTGGGAGCTGGGTAAGAGGATCCTAGCTGGTGCACTGAAATCCAAGTGGCTTTGTTCTCTCTGAGGCTGACAGTTCTTGAGTTGCCAGGAGATGGGCACTGGCTTTCAGAGGCTACTGATCTTCCCTGGACAGAGCCAAGAGACTCTTTCCTCCTGAACAGTGAGGAAAAGCTCCTGTGCTTTACAGCATGTCTGCTTTTGGGGTTCAGGGCCCACTGGGGTGATCTGGTGCCCTCTGCGTCCCTCCTTCCCCAGAGATGCCCTGCAGCCTGTCCTTGGCTCACTGGGGACACCCTCCAGGCATGTGCCTGGAGACATCAGTGAGGCAGCAGACAGGGTGCAGTGGGGATCCCAGGTGAGCTGAAGTAATGGTCAGCACATCCATGGGCAGCGTCTGCTGTGGAGGCCCTGAGAGATGAGGGAGGTGCTGTGGGTCTCAGTTTGGTGGCCTGGTGTGGGCTCTGGCACAGACAGGACCTGCAGGGCTGCTGGCCAACACTTCATCTGGGAGAAGAGGGTGTGGGAAGGCCCCCATTGATCAGGGAGCCCGCACAACCCAGAGAGCTTTTATGCAGACCAACAGTGGACTTTTCCACAGCTTCCTGGGGAAATTGTTCATGTGAAGGGCAGTGCTTTCACCTGTATCAACCTGCCATTATCTCTGGGTCTTCCTGGGTTGGGCTCTCTCAGATGCTGTTCCTCCCTTCAGCCAGCTCCCGAGGCGTGAGCCTGAGCCCTGGAAAGCTGACTGTGCCAGACTCTGGCCAGCCTTGGGCTGACTCCCTGTTCCTCTCCTTCAGTGCCATCAAGGGTGTCTGTAACTATTTGTCATTGCTGTCCCCCACAGTGGCCACCACCTGAGACACTTACTAGGCTGAAACTGTATAGAGACCCTTTGGATGAGGGCTGCAACTTGTGTAATCCCAAAAGAAAGCTGTTGCATCTACCCCACAGCCTCTCCAGCCATGGCAGCCTGACACGTTCAGGAGCTGTGCACAAGATCTGACATTTTGGGAACCCCATGTACCTGCTGGGACCTCCATTTCTGCTACGTTGGCCATGCAGCATCATGCTGCTCTTGTGCACAGTGCTGCTCAGCTCCCGCTGCCATCATGATGAAGGGCTGTCCCCTGATGGCCCAGTGCCCTTGGAGGACTCACATTTCCCTCTTTTGGGGACAACTTCTGCCCTGTGTGCCTTTGGGTACCTCAGTGACTGCTTGAAGATACTCCCAGCAGCAGTGCAGGGCAGGGGATTTCAGGCAAGTTTCAGGAGTGTTGCAGTTAGTCTGTGACTTGTAATGATGCTCATTGTGTCAGTAGGGTTTGTTTTAGGATGTCTTCCAATTTGAGATTTCCTTATGGAGTAAGGATACGTGCTGGAGAATTTGAGTTTATGCTGAGGATCTTAGAATTGTCTTGGATGGGAAGTGACCTTAAAGCTCATCCAGCCCCTTGCCTGCCATGGCAGGGACACCTTCCACTGTCCCAGGCTGCTCCAAGCTCCGTCCAGCCTGGCCTTGGACACTTCCAGAGATCCAGGGGCAGCCACAGCTGCCCTGGGCAGTCGGTGCCAGGGCCTGCCCACCCTCACAGCCAAGAATTCCTTCCCCAATATCTAATCAAACCTCCTCCATGTCAGTTTGAAGCCATTCCCTTTTGTCCTGTGACTCCAGGCCCTTGTGAACAGTCTCTCTCCATCTTCCTTGCAGGCCCCTTTCAGGTCCTGGAAGGCCCCAGTTAGGTCACCCCAGAGCTTCTTTTCTCCAGGCTGAACAATCTCAATTCTCTCAACCTTTCCCCATGCTTCATCTCTCTAATCAACTTTGTAGTCCTCCTCTGGACTAGCTCCAGGAGGCTGATCCCACCTTCAAAGGAGAATTTTGTTTCTGGAAATCAACCTAGGATGAGTCTTTCCCAGTCTTGTGCATGTGAACAGCCTGAAGGACGTGGAAGAAAATGTCTCTGTGTTTTTAATGAGCCAAACATGAAAACAGATTTTGAGCATGTGCAGGATATCAGAGGTCTGGATCAGGACTCAAGTCTCACAACAGGCCATGTTTTTCCCAGTTCCCACCTGAAGATTGTAGAAGAGCTTTGGATTTTGTCACTAAATTTGGGGATCCCACCCTCTAATCCTTGGGCCTTGTTCCTCTGATTTCTTGGTATCTCTCAAGTTTTTAATCTTGAGATAAGACCACAGGCCTCAAGTGCAGAGGAGGGAAGCAGAGCCAGGTTCTGTCTGCTGAGTCTGGCTTTGCATGGGAGACCCTGTTATGTGATGTCCTCACACTTTGATGCCACAGACTCTGTCCTGGTGGTGAACTCCGACCCCTGAGCAGCAGGTCACAGGGTACAGCTCACAGGAGTCTGGTCCACAGGACCTGGAGAGGCACCTGTGCCACAGTTCTGCTGTGTAAAGGTGGGTGATTTAGCTCTTCCCTCCTGAGAGCAGGGGTGGGGAGGGTGGTGTCAACGCGTGTGGACACAACCCAATGTCCCAGCTCTCACTTGGGAAGTGCAGATAACACCCAAGGCACAGCAGCTTCCACCACCACCAAGCTGCTCCTCACGTGAAAGAGGACAGAAACCAGCCACTGGTCAGCAACAGGGCTCATTTATTATCTCATGAAAATGAGTGACAAACAGCTGCAGTAACGTCAGCAGAACCAAAGCTTTTCCCAAGCCTGAGCTCTGAGCGCAGGGCTCCCTGCTGCACTGGGTGGCACTGGGAGGGTTTGTGATGGAGTCAATGGATTTGGGAGATCCCTGAGCTGCAGGGAATGGACTTGAGGCTGTTCCCAGTGGCCTGTGTCCTCCTGATGCCACCATCCCACAATGCTGATTTCTGTTTCCTCCTTCGACACCAGCTGCCTGCCCTTAAAACAGGAGAAGGCACATGCAGTCCCCAAAATGGCTACACTGTGTGTGGGACATGTACCCAGAACTAAGAGCCTCTTCCAGGAGTGAGGTTTGGGGGCAATGAGGCAGCAGCCAGACCCCATTTTCACCATGTCTGACCAGGAGCCAGGTGGCTACAGACAGGAATGCCCTAGGTGTGCTGTGCTGTTTGAAGGGGGGTGGAGGGGGCCTGGTGTGCCCTTGGGTTCCTTGGCTCGGTGCTGCTAGGTGACCTCAAGCAGAGCACATGGGAACTGTTTGGATTTGGCTGCTGTGGGTTTCAGAGACCCCTTGTATGACACTGTGGGTATGATTGAAAAACTGAGCATCCCCAGCTCCTGGTCTTGGCTGGAAGTGAGGATTGTATCCAACCCATGAAGCTTGCAGTGAATGAATGGGGATTCCCAAAGCAGAGGCGGTCTAAAACTCACGTGTACACATGGATGCACTGCTTTTGGTGGCGTGAGACAGACACCAGCCCATTTCCAGGGGTGTGTGGGACCTGCAGAGAGCCCTAGAGGACAAGGGCTGGGGTTCCTGTGGGTGGCCAGTCATCACAGGTGGCCATTTCCAGGGGTCACCACAGAGCAATGGCTTTGGCCAAGAGGTCTCTGCCTTGAGAAGAAAGCTTGGTTTCGCTGCAGGCTCCTCCTGGCTGGTGATGCTGCAGGGTGGGCAGGAGGAGGTTTCCCTGACCCACTTCCTGAGCCAGTGGGGCTCTCTCCCAGGCAGTTCCTAGCAGAAGTGAGACTCACACAGGGATTGTCTCCTCCCATGGCCAACCCTGAATATCTGGAGCTCAGTCAGAGCCCTTCTAGGCCAGGGGCAGCTGGCGGTGCCTGTTGCCCAGGCAGGTATGATGGGGATGAGGGTAGACAGGTTGTACTGGTGCTTTTCAGGGAGCCGTTTGTGTCACCTTGCTGGCCCCTTGGCACTGCTGTTGGCCCTCGGCGTGTGCTGTGGGGCCGTTCCCACGGCTGCTCCGAGCAGGTTTATAAGTGAGATGTGTAGGGCGGCGTGGGTGGGGAGGGGAAGAAGGTTATCCGGAGGCTGCTGCCAGACACATCCCGGCTCTCTGAAGTTATCAGCACCTCACTGTCATTGAGGCAAGGGCAATGCTCAGAGCAGCCCCTCTCCTTGCCCCTGGTGCCCACCCTTTGCTGGCAGGGGATGAGTGTCATGGAGGGGAAGCTGTAGCTGTCAAGGATGGGGCGCACTCCCAGAGAATCAGGTGTCTCACACATGTGGTCGATGTCGGAGAAGTTCACCAGAGCCTGGGTGGAGTCATAGGAGCTTTTCTCCATGTCATCAGCCCTGCAGGACTGAGGGAAGCTGCCCTTGTCCTGCCCCTTCTGCCTCAGCAGGCGGAAGTCATCTCTGAAGTGGGGGTTGAAGAGCAGGTAGAGCAAGGGGTTGAGGCAGGCAGGCAGGGGCAGGACCACAAGGAAGACGGATTTGATGACCTCTGGGGTGATAAGGAAGAGATTGAGGGTAGAGGAGAAGGTGAGGAAGGCCACTGGGCAGTAGAGGAGGCAGTTGGTGAAGATCAGCCAGGCCACATGCTTGACCATGGCGCAGTCCCAGACAGCGCTGAACTCCCCTTTCAGCAGGTTGCAGTAGAGGCGGATGTAGGTGCCGGTGATGGTCAGGAAGCAGAGCATGTTTGTCATCACCAAGGCCACGGTGAAGCCCAGGGTGGTGGGTTTCCCCTCTGGGATGGGGTATGGGAGGCAGAGAGGGGAGGCTCCATATTCCCCAATGGAGAAGAGAGGCAGAACGGCAGCCACAGAGGACAACAACAGGCAGCAACCGGCGGCAGCCTTGACCTTGCCTAGGGACGGGGACTTCCCATATCCCCGCACGCAGGAGGCTGAGAGGCTGCACTGCACAGCAGCCAGGGTCAGCAGGAAGATGGCAGCCTGGGAGGCCAGCACGGACAGGAACCCTGTCACCCTGCAGCCCGCACCCGACTCCCATCTGGCGCCGTAGCGGGCAAAGCGGCCGTAGGTGAGGGTGTCCACGAGGGCCAGCATGCTGCAGGAGATGCCTGTCAACATGTTGGCCCCAGCGATGGAGCCCACGAGGAACTTCACCGGGGAGAGGTAGCTGGGGGAAGCAAAGACAGCCAGGATGACCAGCCCGTTGCAGAGCACCGAGACCAGAACGATGACCCAGACTCCCAGGCGGATGATCCAGCTCTCAAACAGGTGATCACAGGGCTTGAAGGGACCTGGAAGACAAACCCCAAAGTTACACCCAGCAGGCACTGCTTCTCTCCAGTGGTGCTGCTCAGAGTGGTGGCCAAGTCCCAGCCCTGTCCTGGCCCCACCAGCCACATGAGTGCCTTGGGCTGGCAAGGAAAAGATGAGATTGTCCCCCCTCTTCTGCAGCTGCCTCTTGGCTCTGCCCTGTGCTCCTGCCCCAACACTGGAGTGCCTCTGGCATCCTCTCAGATCTTGTCTAGGGTGGGAAAAAGGTGCAGGGAGAGGTCAAAATGAAATGTAAGGAACAACAAACTGATCAGTGCTCCTAAAATGTAAGAAGGTCGTGACTCCAGATCGACCAACACTCCTGGTGTCAGCCTGACATTTGGGCCCCTCTGACATTACCTGCTCCTCCTCGTGTTCCCCTGGGAGCTGGTGGTGTGGAGATCTGCCAGGATGCTGCATCCTGCTCTGGCACTGCCAGCCTCTCTCTGTACACTCAAGACCTTGGCTAAGTGGTGTCTGTTTTGCATGAATGGGGATGAGCACCAGGAGGTGAAGTGTCTGGGCATGAGGGAGAGAGGGAGGGAGATGGTGTGGCAGGGAAGGGACAGAGGGGTCTGGGCTGGCAGAACATGGAAGGATGTCAGGAGAAAGAAAGAACAGAAGTGGATGGAAGGGGGAGTGAGTAAGGGAAGGTCATGGAGGTGTAAAAAGGGGACTGGTCTGGAAGCCAAAGGAAAAAGAAGAAAGTGGGAAAGGGGGCAATGGCATAAAATTGCCTCTGGGAGGGATTAGGATGTTTCAGTGAGTGGCTCAGAAAAAATAAAACCAGGGTGGTAGAAGTTTTAGATGGTAGAGAGCAAAAAAATTAGAGGCAATGGAGAAATCTTTCTCATCTCAAAGGAGGTGAAACTCAGAGTGCCAGGCAGCAGGACATGCCCTCAGCTGAAATCTTGTTCCTTTTGCAACAAACTCAGTGGAACAGCTGGTAAAAAGTCTGTCCCTGCCAGTGTCCCACAGCAGACTGGCTGGAACCAGACCTCTCCAGCCTCCAGGTGTGCTTGTGCAGGACCCCACTGAGCTATGAACAGGGACAAAATCAAAGGCAACTTCCTCGAGCCCCAACCAGCATGTGCAGTCCTGTGCCTCCCTGCTCTCCCTTCCTCAGGAAACAGAGCAAAGTATCCCTGCAGTTTGCAGTGCCATAGGTATGATCAGGACTCCAAGGACAAGGCTCTGCCCAGCAATATTCCAGGCTGGCTGAGGCAAAGCCAAGTGTAAGTCATGCAGGGAAAGAGGAGAGCCAGGTCTGAGTGCAGCAGGTCGGTGGATGGAGGAGCTGGTGGTACCTGGGGTTCCTGGTCAGGCTTATCCTGACCTGGGCCTCCCCTCCTAGGAGGGCAGCTGCATCCAACAGGGAAAAGGACACTCCTCACCTGTCCCCCATTTGGCCTCCAGCCCATCAGGCTTCTGATCTGAAAGGTCGTGGGGATTGAGAGAAGCTCAAAAGATCCCAACTCTGTTCAAAGGGTTTCCCTGGCTGCTCACCCGGGCTTGGTGTGCACTGGATAGTGGGGTGCAGCTTCGACTCCTCAAGGTCCAGCTGAAGATCATCTGCATCCAGGTCATCTGGGGAGGAAAGAACAAGAACTGCTGCTCAGATAAGAACAAGCAGAGCCATCAGAGCTACCTGGGCCAGGAGCTTTTCCTGCTGCCTGTCCTCCACACAGACCTTCCCAGCCAGTTCAAAGTAGCTGCTGGTGTACACTTTGTCCCCTGCAGTCACTGCTGTAGAGGGAGAAGATCTTGTAAACGTTGGTGGGTTGCAGTGTAGCCAACCCCTCTGTTTTTAGGTTACTCCCAACATTTGAAGTGTGAGAGCCCCAGATCCCAGAGCTGTGTGACTGCGGTTCCCTCCTCCAGCACTCTTTATTAAAGTAACGAAATCCTCCAGCCTGTGTGGTTACAGAACACAAAGCCTTCAAATGCAGCTTCTCCATGGGAGCTTTCTGGGCAGGCCTTGTCCAATATTTGTTCACCAACAGGGATTTTGGGACTTTGTTCAGAGGGAACCATCAGCCTCTTCTTGCTGCACGAATTTTTTGTCAGCAGCAACCACCACCAAAGAGTTCCTCAGCAAAGAGACAAGGGAACACAACATTTATAGCTTTATTTTATGCCCTGTAAAACCTTGGGACTGTGGCACCCTGTTTTGAATTGTGGACGTTCCCAGGATTTGCTGAGGGATTTGCAGACTGGTTGCCTGTGGCTGCAGATTCTGCAGCCATGGGGTTTGTGCAGCCAGGCTGCAGAGCCCAGCCCTGCACCGGCATCTCTGTCATGCTGGCAGCTGCACCCCGAGCCAGGCTGGGGCTTGCTGAGGGTCAGGCAGAGAGCCCCTGGCTGACGAAGAAGCTGCTGGAAGGGAATGGGGCCGAGCCCTCAGCTGTGTGCTCAGTGTAGGCCGTCACCAAGGTGAATGGCATCCTCTCAGCCTAATCCACGACATGCTTTGTTCCTTGTTCCTGTTCCCAAAGCCCTGCTGGCTGACAGCACTGGGACACGCTGAGGACAGCTGCTGTCCTGCTGCCCCGTTCCCAGCTGGGGCACCGGCACAGCCTCCAGCTCCCAGTGGAGATCTTGGGAGGGTTTTCTGCCAGCAGGAGGAAAGGGAAAGGATGTGGTTTTGTTCTTGCTACAGCCTGGTAGCCAGAGAGCTGGATCTGTGGCTGTGGGATGAACTCTGTCTTGGATGAATGGACTGATGCTGGAGCCCAGGTGTGCACCTGGCAGCTTAGACTGTGGCCAGGAAGGCAAATTTCCACAGCACTGAAGATAAGGCTGACCTGAGTGGGATTTATGTGTCTAATCTGTTTAGAAGTGGTGCCTCTCAAGAGCTATGCTCCCTGCCTGTGTTCGAAAATGTGACTGGGATTATTTGATTAAAGGATGATGACAAATAACGTGCTATCTTTAGTGCCTCCTGACAAGCTTCATGGCTTTCTCAGCTTCAGGGAGCTTTGGAAAAAAAGGTCATTTTTAAAATCTGTCTGTGTAAGAATTGAAATATTACTGCTGCTTTGGAGCCTGGCAAGGAAACCCTCCCAGTGGGATGGAAAAATATTTCATCCTTGTATTTTATAGTCTTATAAATCTCCAGTGTCTTTTCCAGCCACAGTGCGGAGGCTGTGATGTGCAGTCACGATACCCAAATAAAACAGACACAGCCTTGCTCTTTCTGTGCTCTGCTGAGACCCAGCCCTTGGGAAAGTGTAACCTGTGCCATCCATTTTCTCCTCAAAGCCTGGTTTTAAGCCCAGGTTAAACATTTTCCTGAAGTGAAGGATGATCTTTTGTTTTGCCTGGACTACTGAGCCTGCTGGGAATTACAAAGCAATCCTTAGTCAGCACAGTGGGATTCAAAGTGAAAAATGCACCTCTCTCTGCTAGAAACCAGTCCCTCTCCAGCCTGGAAACTGTGGAGAAAGGAAAATGGCTGTTATGTCCCAGCAAGGCAGGCTGCATTGATTTTGAAGAAGCTGTTATTTATTTGAATTTTGCTGAGGTGCCTTCACTTTCTGAGGTCTTACGGGAAAAATCCTCTTTGCCAGTAGTGTCCTTTCCATAAGAAAGGGGCTGCCTGTACCAAAAGTCAAGTGAGAGGAAGAGGAGCAGAATTGCTGGGGAAGGGGTAGAACAGAAAACACTGGGCTGAATGCCTTTCCCCTTAGTGCTCTCTGCTCGTTCCCTGCTCAGTCCTGTCTGTCTCAGCCAGGGCAGCCCCGGGGGTTGCAGGGACTTGCCCTCTCCTCGGTGTGAGGGTGGCTGCAAGAGGCCTGGGCAGATCCTCTTTGGGGTCTGGAGTAGCTTTTTGAAAGACAGAAGTAGAAGTGGATCTCTAAGGACCCTGCAGGGTTTGCAGGTGGTTGCAGAAGTTCCTTAGTAACTTCACAAGCTGCTGGAGGTGCTGGCTGGGGGAGCAGTGTCCCACTGCCTGGGATATCCACACACATGTGCTCCCTTCTCCCTTCCCACAGCTTTGTTCCATCATTGCAAACACATTTTGCAGTGAATTCATCCTCTTCTGTCGTCAAACCAGAGGCCCCAAGGGGAGCTGCTGGGATGGTGAGGGAAGTGCCCCAGGGCACTTTTCCTGCCCTCCTCTGCAGCACTGTTGGGAGCTGCTGGGGGCTGTTCTGGTGGCAGGTCCCTGAGCCATCTTTGGGTTCCTGGTCAGCCACAGGGGCAGACTTGGGACAGGGGGTGTCTGCTAAACACTGCCAGTTGTAATCCAAAGAGGCTGAGATAATTGAGAGAAGACAAGGCCCCAGGATTTAGAGACCCTTCCAGTGTCTAAAGGGGTGCCAAGAGAGCTGGAGAGAAGCCGTGGCTGCCCCTGGATCCCTGGAAGTGCTTAAGGCCAGGCTGGATGGGGCTTGGAGCCACCTGGGACAGTGGAAGGTGTCCCTGCCATGGCAGGGAGGCCACGAGAAGAGCTTCAAGGTATTTCCCAAACCCAAACCATTGTAGAATTCAATGATATCCCAAACATATCAGTGATATCCCAAGTGCTGGAAGTGAGACCTTAAATATCCATTTTGGCAAGGTGACAGAATGATGAGATGTGCCCTGATCACTCTAGTTTGGCCCCAGGTGGCTGTTACTCAGTTGAGAATGGACATACTCGGGTGTTTTGGGGGGGTTCCCAGGCAGCCAGGGCCCTGGGGGCATGGGGAGGAGCTGATCTGGTCCTGGGGGCTGTGGCACTGTGTGTTCTGGGTCTGCAGCCAGTGCTCCCTCAGGTGCTGGCTGTGGGAGCAGGAGAGGCTGGAGGAGCCAGGGCCAGGCAGGGCAGGGCTGGGCACTGGGAGCCATTCCCCATCCCTTTGTGGCTGCCTGGGACAAGCTGCCTTTCACTGCCCAGCCTGAGGTTCTGGGGACTCCTTTGGGAGGGACTGGAAGCAGTGCACAAGGCTGAGAGGACAGAGCTGTCTGGAAGTGTTCCCTGTCCCTCTCACAAGTTCTCCCACAGTGTCCAAGTGCCCTGACAAGCCTGGCTGGACCTGCTGAGACACAGCCCCAAGGTATTTTCTCTTCAGCAGACCACTTTCCCTCTTGCATGAAAGGAATGTTTGGGAGCTTTTTTCCTCTCTAATGAGAAAGTGTTACAAGGTTCATATAACCCAGCTAAATACCATCAGTGGTCATCAGAAAGGAAGCACAGGGAACAGAAATAAAGCCATGATTAATTAAGTAAAACAGCAATATCACAAACTCCATATCATCAAGAGCAGACCCTGCTGTTGGAGGTCTGGAGAATCATCTGCAAAAGCTGCACATCATAAGGAATGATGTTCCTATGCATTTCACATTTGTACCTCTGTACTTTGATGTTTCAAAACAGATCCAATGCTATAACATCTGAAAACAGGAGCCTTTACGAGCTGCAAATAATCTCATTTGGTCTTAGAATCAGTCAGCATTCCCCTCGTGGTGCTGGGACTGGCCTGGAGGCCTGGGACCCTGGGGTAGGTTTTGGTCTGCTGGCAGGGCCAGGTGAGAGCATCCTTTGGGACATCAAAGACTTTGGTACCGAGCAAAAGCAGGTCTGTGGCCCCTTGTCACAAACTAGATCTTTCCACAAATGCCATAATTTGCTGGGCAAACCCCACAACTATCTGCACTAGGACTGCTACAGTATGGGCTGCATTAATGATGGAAAGAGTGACCTGGCTCAGGATGAAATCCTGCAGCAATGACTGTAACATGACTCCTCTGTACTGTCTGGCCAGTGTTACCACCAAGTCTACCATGCTTCCTGGAGTCATATCACGCCAGTAGGAATCACATTTGCTACCCTCTGGCTGGACTCTTTGCATGTCTAAAGGTCATATTTAGGCTGTGAAGGATCAGTGCAGGAGCACAGGGCTTGGGGGTCACTTCTGGCTGTGTCACAAAGTGTCTTGGTCATCCTGCCCATAACAGAGAGTCCAGCAGCTCTGGACTTGAATCTGCCTCCAGATGCAGTCCTGCCTGCTCAGGCTGGGGGAGGACAGCAGGGCCCCTGGCTGGGCTGGATGCTCAGTGCTCCTGGGAGCAGGTGGGTCAGGGCTCTCCAGGGGCACAGCCCTCTCTCCATCTCCCATGTGGATTTGCCTACAGGATGTCTCAGGCCTCGGAAGTGCACTGTATTTACACAAATGTATAAATAGAAGCAGCATCCAGGCTGTGTTCTGAAATGTTGTTTGCACTCTCCAGCAGTTACAGAGGAAGCAAAGGGGCTCATGTTTTTCTTTGTGTTATTCTGAGACTCTCTTGCAGGGGGATCACAGCAGCCTGGTGCTGGGGCTGCTGCTGTGCTGTGGGGCTGGGAGTGCAGTGGTGCCTTGCACTCTCTGCTGGCTCCTGGAACTGGCCTCATGCAGTCTGTGCAGAGCTGCACTTTGGAGCACAGAATAAATTGTCTCTTGAACAGAAAATGCCACTTGATCATGGAGATTCGTCTTCCCTGCCTTGGCCAGTCCCTGTGCTGTGTTCCTCAAACGTGTCCTCTTGTCACACCTAACCCTGACCTTTGCTGTAACACCCAGGGTGTGCACGAAAGTAGCACACACAGAGCTCTCTCTGCCTCCAGTCAGTGGGATATTCCAGGTTTTGAGTTCATTCTCTTACTCAGATTAATCCCAGGGTCCTTTCTCTAGATGATGTAAGAACAAACAGTGATGTCCTGCCAAAGGCTCCACATTGCCCAGAAGTCTAATGACCAAGCCCAGTTGTCCCAGGTAGCCTCAGCCACCTTCCAGTGCCTTGAGCAGTGTCCCTCCATAGCCAGCAAGACCAAACTGACAAATATGCCCAAGGTGTGGGGGCTGTCTTTGGTTCCATTGTGAAGGTTTGGATGTGCCAGATCTACTCTTTCTCCCAGACAGGGTCACCAAATGGAGCCTGTTCAAAGCAATGGGCCACTGTGTTGAAGAAGGCTCAGCCTGCCCTCCCTGAGGCAGGTGTCACCTGTGACAGTGGCACCACTCCTGCAGATGCAGGACTGCACCCCAGCTCACAGCCCTGCCCAGGGGCCGATCACCATGCAGGCTGTTTACTCACAGTGGTTGTCAGTGTGACCTGGGAACAATTCCAAGGTCCTCTTGTGTGGATCCTCCTCCTCAGGGGCCATGTCTTCTGCCTCCCACTGGCTGGACACCCTGAAGATGCCGCTGCAGCTCCCGTAGGCACAGCACTGGTAGGCGTAGGGCACCTCCAGGACTCTGCACAGAGGAAAGCAGAACTTTAAGGTGTGTCCCCTCCATGGCCTGACTCTCCATTGCTTTGCACTTTTTGCTTAGTTCCTTCATTTCAAAGATGAAACTCATCTGTACAGAGTCACAAAATATTCTGGGCTGGAAGGGATCCACAAGGGTCTTCATGTCCAGCTCTGAAGTGAATGGGCCCTACAGGGATCACATCCACACTGTTGGTGCTATTAGCACTGTGCCCTAAGCAGCTGAGCTAACCTCAGAGTCAAAAAATATGGAACACTTCACGAATTTCTGTGCAGGAGCCATGCTGACCTTCTCTGTATCGTTCCAGTTTTGGTACCTGTGCTGCAGACATGACAAAATCTGGTCTGTGTGGTGATGGTCACAGTGGAGAGGGATTTTTCTTTGGTGAAGGCTCCATGTAGGACAGGCTGTGGACCCAGGGCAGCCCATGGTGTCTCTGCACCACTTTTGGTGCTTAAGACACTGTCAGTCAATACAATATTGTCAAACACCAGGTCTGGAAACTACTCTTAAGTTCCCAGATAGTTCCTTGTCCTGGTTCCAGCCAGAACAGGGTTAATTTTTGCAGTAGGTGTGAGGGAGCATGACCAGGACCCAGAGGTTATTCTGTACCATGTTACTCATTGCTGGGGGATAGGGGGAAAGGAGAAAATGTGGTGGGGGAGCCATCTGGTATTTGTTTGTTGTTGGGGGCTTTCCATGCAAATAACTTTCTTTTCTTATACTTTTTGTTATTAATATTGTTGATGTTACTGTTTGTGTCTTATCTCATTGCTGTTTCCAGTAAATTGTTCTTATCTCAACCCATCATCTTGGCCTTTTGTGCCTCCAGTTGGGGAGGAGTGAGTGGTGCATGGTATTAGCAGGAATACTAAATTGGAGAATACCAGTCCTAAACCACCACATTCATAAAAACCCTTCTGCTGTTATCCTCAGAATAAACTAGCCTCTGTCTCCAATATGCAATGTACAGTCTTCGATTTCTACCCCAAGGCCATATTTTCCCAGGCATCCTTTCCTTCCTTCAAGGGGAGAATCTTCCCTAGAGCAAGGCTCCCCTTGCTTGTTGAGGGCACCTTCAAACTCCAGTTCCAGGAGTTTCAGCTCAGGCAGGGAATTCTCAGGTCTCCCAAGTGAAGCAAGTTATTTAAATATGTCTGAAAGTTGATTTACAGTATATTTAAATATGTACTTGAAAGTTGAATTGTTAGTTGCTAATTACAACATGTGTTGCAAGGTTAATTCAACAGCAGCTGAGCATCATCTGGATGCAATACCAGGCTGTCTGTCAGCAGCTGCATTTTTGGCTTTGCTAGAAGTCAGGGAGACTGCTGATGAATGCAAAGGAACCCCAGGTTTTCCAGACAATTAAGGTCCTCTGACAAGATCAGTAAATATGGTAAAACTCTATATTCTAAAAATATGCTTTTGTTTTATGTTCCCAAACATTTCTGGCCGAGCCCCGGGAGGGTCTGGAAACTCTGTATACAAGCTTGTTTCCTGTTATAAGCTCCAAATTAGATCCTATTATTGAAAGGTGGTAGGGAGGTGCAGATCCTCCCAGCAAGGCTAAGAACTGCTCCCAGATGACTCTTCCAGATATATGCCCCAAGAGTAAGGCTGCTTAATGACAGTGCCCGAAATTTGGGGAATGTTAATGGGTCCGTTGCCTGGCATGGTTCACTGAAGCACTGCTGCAGGCTCAGCTTCTCTGGTACAAACACAAACCAGCTCAAGAGATGTGAATGGAACTAATTTAGAGGAGAAACACTCTGGAAGTGCTGAGCTTGACTCACCCTGCACAAGGGACTGCCTGTTGGAGCAGGACCAGAGGAGCCCACGGAGCTGCTCAGAGGGCTGGAGCCCCTCTGGGAGAGCTGGGGGTGTTCACCTGGAGAAGAGGATTCTCCAGGGAAAGCTCAGAGCTCCTTGCAGGGCCTGAAGGAGCTTGGCACTTGTGAGGGTGCAGCTTGAGTCCTGTGTCCAGTTCTGGACACCTCAATTCAAGGAAGACATTGAGGGGCTGGAGTCAGGAAAGGGAAATGGAGCTAGGGAAGGGTCTGGAGAGTAAATCATATGGAGAGTGGCTGAGGGGCTCAGCCTGGAGAAAAGGAAGATCTCCCCCATCAGCAGGGACCTTATCACTCCTTACAACTGATGATGGTAACAAGGTGGGGCTTGATCTCTTCTCTGGGCACTAAGTGGCAGGGAGAGAGAAAATGGCCTCAAACTACACCAGGAGAGACTCACGTTGGAATCAGGAGGAATTCCTTCAAGGAAGGGCTTGTTAGACTTTGGAAGGGGCTGACCAGGGAGGTGGTGGAGTCCCCACCCTGGGAAGTGTTCAGGGAACAACTGGATGTAGCACTGAGTGCTCTGGGCTGGTGACAAGGTGGGGACTCGTCTCAGGTTGGACTCGATGACCTCAGAGTTTTTTCCAATATTAATGATTCTCTGGTTCTATGCTTCTGTGAAGAAAGCTGGAGAGGACCTTTGGACAAGGGTCTGGAAGGACAGGACAAGGAATCCTCATTTCCTACTAGGAAGGGCAGTGTTTGATGGGATATTGGGAAAAAATTCTTCACTGTGAGGGGGGCGAGGCCCTGGCACAGGGTGCCCAGAGCAGCTGTGGCTGCCCCTGGAAGTGTCCAAGGCCAGGCTGAATGGGGCTTGGAGCAACCTGGGATGGCAGAAGGTGTCCCTGCCCATGGCAGGGGGTGGAATGAGATGAGCTTTAATGTTTCTGTCCAACCCACACCATTCTATTGTTGTATGATTTTGGGTGTAAAAAACCCAAAAGCTTCTGGAACCCCCTGCCATTTGGGAACCAGTCATGCAGCATTTCCTAGATATGAGTTTAAAAAGTCAGAAAGAGAGAGCCCTGCAGGCACCACTGCTGAGGCAGCCTGAAGGGAGAGCTCCACACTTCCCCTCAGGCCTGAGCTTTGAGCCCTGTGTTGGTGCAGTGATCTGTGACCCCAGCCCTGTGTGGAAACTGAAGAAGCTCCAGCTTTGGGAACCCATCCTGGATGAGTGGGAGCATCAGCTCATGCATTCCTGGCTTGAAGGGAACTCCCTGGGACACCCAAGCAAGAGATGACTTCATCTGGAAGGAATTTGTGTTCCCTAGACCATGGGTGTCTAAGCCCTAAGGCAGGTGCCACACTGAGACCCAGGAGCCAAGAAGGGTCAGAAAAGTCTGAGCCTGCAGCACAGCACTCTGCTCTGAGCCTTTTGCAGCCTCTTCTTCATCAGTTTGACTCCTTCAGGCTCCTCATTAATCCATAACAGACAAGACATGGCCACACAAGCAGAGTTTATGGAAGAAAACCTGGATGTCATTAGGTAGGACTGCTTCTGGGAATGTTTTCCATTGAGAGGAGCCCTGAGCTGGGCCTGCTCCACGTTTTCCACTTGTGTGTGTGTGTTTGGGGTGGGGGTGGTGGCCTGGGAGCTCATCACTGCTCTCCCGTGGAACATATTAAAGATGAGATGTGCTAGCAGGAGATGGATCTTCCTCAACCCATGGGCCTGGAAACGTTGACAAAGCACAAGATGGGCCAGGACAGCAGGAGGCTGAGTGCTGTGAGCAAATACAGCCTGTGCTGAACACCAGAAGTGAAGTGTTCAACTTCACTTGAAGTGAAGAGTGAAAGAGCCAACATTCCAAGTACCTCATTTTGGGGAAGTTCTCCTTGGTGAAGGGCTCAGAGAGAGCTGGGTTGCCTTGGAGCTTCAGATGGGTCAGTCCAGCCAGACCATCCAGGGGCAGCGTGACCAGCTGGTTGTCAGTCAAGTCCCTGGTGAGGGGAAAGCAGAGAGGGAGACCAGGGTCAGGGCTCGGCTGCCGGTGGGATCTCAGCCAAGCCGAGGGCACTGCCTCAGTTGCTCCCTTGATGTGATGCTGAAATGGGCTGGGTGCTGCACTGGGGCCAGGAACCCCTGGAGGTAAACACTGCAGTCAGTCCCTGGGAAGGTGAGGGGCTGGGGTTGGTGGCCATGCTGAAAGCTCTGGGTGGATCTCCCTCGCTGTGCACGTCTGTGCCCCACACATCTCTTCCTCCACTGTATTCAGGGATGACTGCAGATCCCAGCCCATGAAACACCCAAGAGTCTTAGAGAGGGGGCTGAGAACTGGGGGCCCTCCAGAGCCAGCACGGATGGTCTGCAGTGACTCTTGCAGAAACAGCCCATCCTGCTGATCTTCCTTAAAGGCATCTAAGGCAGCTATGGAAGCATCAGCAAATGGAGGTTTAAGTGTTCAGGATGAGAGCATCTTGAAGATGGGCCCTCCTGCACTTCATCATCCCTTTATTAATAGGAAACCTTGGGATTTGTTGTGTCCACATCAGTGCTGAGATATGCACCTCAACCCATCAGTCATTCAGCATCTAAATCCTAGGTGTTCTGGTAGCCCAGGGAATCAGTCTGAGGTCCTCAGATACCTCCCATCCCTGGCCCACTGTGAAGGAAATATCCCTGCAACTTACAGCTTGGTGAGGGAGTGCAGGGTCACAAAGGCTTCTGGGTGAATAAACTGGATGTAATTCCAGCTCAGGTCTCTGCAAGGCAAGGACACAGCAGTAAGAAGAGAGCAGAGCAAGGCAGTGAAGCTGCTGGCACTGGCCTAGCCAAGGGCCCTGGTGGGAGCACATGTGGGATCTGTAGCCCCTTGGTCAGCAGCAATTTCTGTCCCATTGTATCTCCCCCGAGACAAGTCTGGGTCTGTATATGGATGGTTTCCAACAGAGGGCACAAGAGTTTGCCTTGCAGGAGCTCCTCTGCTGAAATCAATGGGAAAGGATCAATGGAAAATGTTCTTTTCTGGCTTAATTTCTGTAAATTTGGGAATTTTTTTGCCAACATGCCAAACAGGTCACGCCTTAGTGCCAGAGCATCCCCAGTGCAGTTAAGTGCTGGGTGCAGCACAGGAAGGTAGGGCCAGGGTTCTGGGGAATGTGATTCTAGAATGTCTCCTGCCATGCACAGGTGCTTTGGAGTCACTGAGTCTCCTCAATCAGCTCTGCCTCTATCCAAGTGAGACAGCTCCACTCCTCTGTAAGCAGTGTAGAGGAAACCAGCAAACTGGGAAAAATTTCTTGCCCTAAGGCTGACTGCAGGACAGCCTTCATCTCTTAGTCTCTAAGGGAGCAAAGATACCTGCTCAGGTGTGTGTGACACTGGGTAGGATGAATCCTCTCCCAGGGGCCAGAACGTACCCAAAGCTGCCAGAGCTTTCTCACCTGTGTGTGTGACTGGGCTGGGGCAGCATGCTCACGGTTCCTGGGTGTCTGCAGTGCCACCTGCCACACCTCAGGTGTGTCTGTGACACTCAGGGGATCCCAGGAACGCTGGGCTATTAAATGGCACTCGCATTGCTGCACCATGGGAACAGATTTGATGGGTTTTAGTTCACTTCCTAACAGAACAGCAAATACAGACTCTCAGGGCTCTTCCCAGATGTCACAGAGCCACAGTGCCCTTCAGAGCTGTGCCAGCTCTCCAAGGTGCCAGGCACTTGGGAGGTGACTCTGTGTGTGCACTTGTGGAACACGAACTTCTGAGTGGTGGGGAGGAGCTTTCAAACCAAATGGGATGCTTTGCATGTTCCAGGAGTGCCTACAGCCTGTGTAGGACAGGGGTGCTGGAGCTCAGGTGCACTCAGGTACTGCCCTGGTTCCTCCTGGCACTCAGGAGGCCTGTCTGTGATGTGGGCTCTGCCCTGGCAGAGCTGCTGCGTGTGGGGTGTGGGCATGAGGGGGCAGGTAAGGAGGGGGGTCTGCAGGAGAAGCCAAAAGGATGGTTTGTGCTCTCCTCTTTCCTAAGACAGAATGGAAGAGGGACTCAGCAGAGACAGAGGCAGGCTGGGGCTTCCCCCATCCTCTCTGGGTTCACAGTCCCCCTCCCAGCATGACCCAGCTGGTCCCTGGCAGACAATACTTGCATGGAGCGCAGGGCCATCAGCTGCACAAAGGTGTCTGCTCGAATCTCCTGGATCTTATTGTGCTGGAGACCCCTGGAAAAACAGAAACTGGTTTGAGAAAAGAGCTGAAGGCAGTTGTGGAGATCTTTGTCCCAGGGCAGCACTGTCACCATGGAAGTTGCTGTGCTTGGGAGACCTACTCTTATTTCAAGAGTTAAACAGGATGAGCAGCAAAACGTGTCAAAGCCATTCTCTCCCGCAGGCTCTGCTCCAGGGCTCATCCTCTGCTTTTGATGCCATCACGACTGAGTAAAGAACTGTTGATGTGCAGTGGCCAAAGATACCCTGTTGACCCCAAACCCACACTAGTTTCCCACTTTGCTCCTCCCTAAGCCTCCAAACTGCTTTTTCCAGAGGACAAGCTGAGAGCTTGGAGCCAGTGATCATCAACCAGCTCTGTGTGACCCTTCAGGAAGGACCATGTGGTGCTGCCCTTTGCCTTGGTGAGGATGAAGGTTTGAGGGCTGAAGGTATCTCAGTATTTAATGAAGAAATATCTTGATGTCTTGTAGAACCCACTGTCCACATCTGCACATGAAGTGGCTCAGCCCTCCACATCCCCCTTTCCAGCTCCTTCATCCCCTGGGGAAGGGGGAAAAAGTAGGGTGAGAGTTCACAGACTCTGCTGACTGACCTACACACTCCCCACATCCTCAAGAGACATCCTGGATGCTCCAGCCATGCACCTTGTGGGAAAGGTTCAGTTCCTCAGGGCTGTTTTCCCTAGTGTGAGCCTATCCTGAACTCCCAGACCTGCAGAAGCAGCATCCCCCTCCCTATGACCTTCTGCAAGGTGACACAGCCACTGCCTGCTGCTCCACCTACAGCACATCCCTGGGCATTTCTCAGGTGCTTAACCTGCCTTTGGACTCAGAAATAATCTTGACTCATCTCACACAAGGACCCTCATGTGCTGGCTCTACTGTCTCAGCTGGGATTTGGCCACGTGCTGCTGTTCCAAAGGTGGGCACTTGAGCTGCCCCCGTGGTGCCCCAGGCTGGCATGGCCCCTGCCTCCAGCCAAGATTTCACCTGGGAGCCACTGGAAGATGTGGACACAGATTTGGGGGTCACTGACTGGAAGAGGTGGAGTTTGGGCAGAAGGGATATTGCAGCAAGATTGAGAAAAATAATTTAGGGGTGTTTAGCTGTGAGGGACCAGCTGTGTGGTGCAGGGGAAGGTCTGGACACCAGCAGTTACAGCAGAGCAAGGGCACAGCTGAGCTGTTTGTGTGCCAGGCTGTACCACCGGGCACCACCAGACTTGCTTCAAACCACCAGGTTTGATGCTTGGTGGGGGTGGGGCTTACAGGGTAAAAACTTTGGGGTTAAGGGACCAAACACTCATTTTGGTCCCTTAATTAAAAAAATAATATTAATTTAATATTAATATTTTTATAGGTACATAGGTATAATCTATTTGACTTCAGTAGCCAGAAACTGGCATTTAATGTGATTCTATATTAATGTTAAGTCTGAATTTGGTATATTATAAAATTGTGCAAGAAGAAACTCAGGCAGAATGTGTGAAATCACAGGTTTGAAATTTTGGACATTTATCTTTTTTTGGTGTACTTTCTATTTTTTTCAAATGTTTTCCTGGGGGTACTCTCACAGCTGCCATAAAAAGCAGCAGGGGCTGTGTACTCTCGTTTCCATGTAGTTTCACAGTGTTCTAAGGTCCAGTTTGCTGAGGCTGGATGAGCTGGTCTGACTATCCAGGCTGAGGTGCTACAGAGAGCAGGGACAACCTCTCCTGTGGAGTTTTTTAATGGGGATGCTGCTCCCATACATCTGTTCTTCCAGGTAGCAGGATTATGTGAAAAATCATGGAGTCTACTTTAACTGGTTTTTTTTAACAGTTTTTCTTAAAAAGGCCAAGAACTTGGGTTCTGTTTGAAGTGTAGGGCCACATTTTGAGCTGAATATGAATAACTTTGTCTCAGAGCAGCAGCAGTGCCTCCTGGGGCCTGGAGAGGACCCAGTTCCAGAGCTGCAGCTGAGGAAAGCATCCCCCTTCTCTCAGGAGGGGCTGGCCCTGGGCAGGGGGGATAAGAGCTGCTTTGTGCCCATGGCATGGGGCCCCTCCTTGAAGCAGAAGACATTTATGGTGGATATAAACCCCATTCTTGATTAGCTCCTAGTGGGACTGGAGTTAGTGAAGTGAATTCAGTTCTGTCACATCCTACTTCTGTTTGAAGTGTCTGTGACCTCTGACAGGACCTGACTGAATTAAGCTCCTGTGCACAGGGGATAGATTTTTATTCTGTATGTGCACAGGGCCAGAGAGTGGAGCTCTGGTCCATTTGCACTCCAAACACTGAGTTCCAACGCCCAACTTCCCCAATGCTTAGGGAGCTCTGTGTGTGGGAACCACCCCTCTCCTCGAAGCAGCCTTTTCCCCCAGAGCACAGCACAAACAAGGACATCTCCATACTCACAGCTCCTCCAGCTGCTGGCACCGGTGGAAACTGGGCAGCTCTTCAATTTGGTTGTGTGACAGCTCTCTGCAGGGAAAGGACAGCACAGGAATGTTGGGACACCAAAAGCCAGTGCCCCTGAGCCCTCCCTTGCAAGGCAGGTACTGCTGGAGAGCGAGGTGACCTCACCTCATCCTGCACAGCCCCACTTTTGGTAACCCCAGTGAGTGGGATCTCCACGCTGCAGCTGCTGCTGGCTCTGGGTGTCTCTGTGCAAGGTGAGGGTTGCCCCATGATTTCCCCACTTGCTCATCCCCAGCCCAGCTCCCTGCAGCCCAGCCCTGGGCTGATGGAGCTGCTCGTTCAGCTGGGGTGGGCTTGTCCTGCCCAGCCTCAAGTCAGCTGGGAAACCCTCCTGTGCCACTTCTGCCATGCCCAGCCCTGCCTTCCATGGGCACAGCGCAGAGATATTGCGGCCAGAGCTTGCACAAGCTGCAGATGTGCCTGCAGAGCTTGGGGAGGATTTGACCAGCTCCCTCCTGGCACAGCAACCCCACTGCCCATTGCCTGCTCCCCATTCAGCCCTTCCTGGCTTTCTCCCAAGGTCAGGGAAGGGGTTGTGGCATTGGCAAGGATTTGGCTATTCAGCCCTTCCTGGCTTTCTCCCAAGGTCAGGAAAGGGGTTGGCAAGGATTTGGCCCAGGGCATTACAGACTTTGGAAATCTCTGCTCCTTGTTCTTTCAAGTGCTGTCACTCAAAAGCAGTTTGCAGCAAACTCCTTTTGCCACTGGTTCATGGCTCAGTGTCCTGTCAGCATCTAGAGTGGCTTGATAGTCAGAGGAAAACCCACCCTGGCACAGCTTAATGAGAATTTATTGAAGCTGAAACAGGCTGGGTAAAGAGCAATGTTTAAACCCAGCTCTTTCCCCCACCAGCAGAGACTGGATTTGTGGTTGTTCAAGGGAAATTTACCCCAGGGTAAAGTTTTGTATGTGGTTTCTCGGCCGACTTTCCAAACTCGGTTTCCATATTTCTGCCAATACATTGCTCCTAAAATATTTCAATTTTTTTTTTTTTTTTTTTTTTTTTTTTTTTTTTTTTTTTTTTTTTTTTTTTGCCAACCTACTCACCACCAGTTTTCCATGGTGGAGAGGAGGAGGGAGGGAAAAGCAAGAAACAGGTTTGTGCTTGGCTCTGGAGGCTGTCATGCAGGATGGAGAAAAAACCTTAGCATCAGTCACTTTTCCCTGGTCCCTGTGTCAATGCATTGGGCTTGGCAGGGCTGGAGCTTAGCTAACAGTGATGGGGGAGAACCAGCCCCAGGAGTTATTTCTGGCTCCTCCAGAGTGAGGGTAACCAGGTGCAGCCCAGAATTTACAAACAGAGCAGCCTCAGTCTCTCATGCTCTGTTGGGAACGTACCAGGATGAAGGTGCTGATGGCACCAAGGGACTTCAGCTCTGCTCAGGGGAGTTTCACCTATTTCTGCTTGAGGAGAAATACAAATCTTCCAGAGTCCAAGGAGCATTTGGACTACTCTTTCAGGCCCAGGGTGGGATTGTTGGGGTGCTCTGTGCAGTGCCAGGAGCTGGACTCAATGATCCTTGTGGGTCCCTTCCACCTCAGGGTGTACCACGGTTACACAAAATCTGTGCCCTGAGCAGGAGCTCTGGATGAAAACAGCAGGATGATGCCAGGTTGATGCCAAAGGCTGCCCTGCCTGTGTGGGGCATCCCAGGATGGCTGTGACCCTCTGCCCCTTCAGTGGCTCTACAGTCCCTGTGTCCTTGCAGAGAATCCACACCTGGAAATGCAGCTTTACTTGTGTCATCTATGGTCAGGTGTGTCACAGCCATAGCTCCTGTGGCTGCCCAGAGACAGGCAGAGAGCAACCTCTGGCTCTGTGGGGACAGGACCCAAGGCATTTCAAAGGCAAGAGAGATGGAAACATGCACAAACATTGGCCCTCACGCTCTCTCTCCAAACCCTGAAAGCAATGCAATAAGTGTCAGGAACGTTCACTAGGGAAGAGGAAGAAGGGACAAGGAACAAGGTGGTGTGTCCCAATGAAACTCTCCCACATGGTGGTGGGGGGTAGGCACAAAGAACAGGCTCTGCTGTGAGGGCTTGCAGTCTGATAACTGCAAACATAAACAGAGGTCTGGGACCCAACAGCCTGGGCCAGCCCAAAGGCTGCACTTCTGTAGCAAGTCATCCATTGAATTGGTCCAGATGTCTAAAGATGAGAGATCTTCCCTACAGGGACATCTGGAACCAAAAGCCTGTAATCTCCTAAGTTACAAATTGTCTTCTTTTATTTTTATGTTTTACTCTTGTTTCCAATTTCTGTGATCAAGAATTCACTCCTGTTGCTTTCCTGGAACAAACTTGTTTTCTTTTTCAGCTTGCTTGTATAAAGACTGATGAGAGGCAAGCCTGTTGTTGCCCTAAGGCTGCAAACTTGTATAAATCTGGCTCATGACTCATTTCCTGAGGATGTCTTTGAGAGCAAACATAGTTGGGGATCTCAGGAATCAGGGGTGTGATTGCTGAGATGATGCAGAACCTTTCTGGGATGTTGATTTCATCATGTACCAAGCTAAAGGAGAAAGCAGGACCCCCCAGCATCATTCAGTGCCTGGCTAAACAGGCAAAGCCAAAGAAACAGAGACCAAGCAAAACCCTGACCTGGCTGTGCTGCCCCATGTGAGGAAATGTGGCCTTGTGGCCTCACAGGTCCCCATCAGGTCAGACCTGATCCCTCCTGGGATATGAACAGGATCCTCCCTCCAGATGATGGCACTTGCTGCAGCTCCAACTGCAATAAGCCAAGGCTGGGGCAGAGGATGAAGGTGATTTCCCCCTTGTTTTTGGGCTGAGAGCTTCAGCCCAGCTGGGAGCTGTGAAGTGCTGCGGCCATTCTTACCCATCTCCTTTTGTACTCTCTCTACTCCCCTTGCATGGGAGGGGACAGGTCCTGCTGGTGCAGAGCAAGGAGATGTGCCTGACTGCAGCCCTGGGACCAGAGCAGCACACTGGGATGGAGCAGCAAGTTGAAGAACAAGCAAGAGCCCAAAGTAGGGATTAAGAACATGCTGATTTCTGCATGGAAAAGATGATGGGAACAGGAACCACAGGACGGTCTTCCACAGCTGGTCCTTTCCCTGAGCTAGACAAAAGGAAAGCCCAGTTCCTGAGGGCATTTTGTAAGGACCAGGCAGGACAGAGACACGGGTTACTCACAGGACTCGGAGGCTGGGCAGCTGCTGGCACATCCTTCTGGGGAGGAAATGGATTCCTGCTCGGGTCAAGGTCCTAGAGGGATGGAGGAGAGACAAGAAATGGTGTTGCTGACAGCCAGCACCCAGACTCTGTGACCCAGAAGCCCAGCTGCCAGTCCCAGATAGTGGCAGGAGAGACAATATCAGTAGGACAATAAAATACATGGAGAGGATAAAATCCTGCCTGGCAGTTTTGCAAAGAGGCACTGCTGCTGGACCCAGCCAAGGTGAATGTGAAGAGTTCTGGGCCACTGCTGAGTACTGAATTAACAGCTGTCCTTGGCCACCTTGGGGCAGGTGGCAGTGGCCTCTGTAGCATGCTCTGCCATCCCTGTTCCCACTGCCCAGGCTGGACAGGCCTGGAGCCAGGACTGCCTCAGAAGCTGTGTCTGAGGGATGGATGGTGTGTCCCTGTGTCCCCAGGACACAGCAGGGCCAGCCCCCACTGTGGCCTGGGGTGCTCCCAGTCTGGGCTCAGCGTGGGGACGGTGTCCAAGAGAGGAGAACTGTGTGTAGCCAGGGGCAATGTGTCCTCCCAGGCCCTGGGGCATGGGGAGGGGACAAGAGCAGCTGCAGGAGCCCCAGCCTGGGTGGCAGATGTTTCCTGAAATGCACCACGGTGCTGGTTCCACTAGGGGCAGAGACACTGGGGTGCAGCAGAAGCACTGCACTCAGAGGTTCATTCCTTCACAGGTGCAGGAGGGAAGGAAGGAAAAAACAAATAAACAACAAACAAAAGACTGGAGCACACTCAAGAGTACCGAGAGAGCCACTCACAGGGAGGAAAGCTGCGTTCAGGAGCCACAGGGGTGAAACGAAGCAGAAGGGTGAGTGACCAGGGAGAGGCAGAGCTGAATACTGCACAGCACTGGGAAAGTTGTCCTCACTGAAACAGCCTGGACCGCCTTGGAGGAGGAAGAGCACAGCTAGCAGGGTTAAAGGGAGAGAGGTGCCACTCACAAAACTTCTAGGCTGGTGGTGCCTTTAAGGTCCGGGAATTCCCTGATGTCCGTGGCTCCATTGAGTGACCTGCAGAGAAACGAGGGTGAAGTGAGGTGGGCAGAGCACCTGGAGGCACGTGCAGCTGCTCAGGGGTCCAGACCCATCAACCACGGTGGCAAATCTGCTTCCTCACCCCCAGATGTGATCAAGGCCCAGCCCCAGCGTGTCCCTGTGGCTGGAGCAGATGCTGTGCAGACACAGCGAGATGGAGCTGGGCACTTCCATGCAAGGAGACTTGGCAAGCTCAACGCCTCTCCCAGCCACTGACATTCTTGGCACGATCTCTACCCAAATTAAATAAAAAAACCCCAAACAATTACCATGGGGAATGTAAGCAGGGCATCCCACCCAAGCCTCCCTGGGTCTATGCATTTGGATCTAAAGAATGCAGAGCTATTTGAATGATTTATTTTATGTGCCTGGGTGAGGCTTATAAATAGAGATTTATGAGGTTGCCTCTGCCTCAGTATTTTTAATGCTGTGCCACAACAGGTTGGCTGAAATGCCAGCGTGGGGCAGCTGCTGTGGTTCAGGTGGTGCCCAGCCTGTGCTGGTGGCCCTGGAGCAGGCCCAGGGCCAAACATGTGAAGGAAGCAGTGCCACTGCTGGCTGCCCAGTAATATGACTTGTGCCATGGTGCTGGGACGTGTTCCTCCACTTCTCCATCTTGTGGAGGAAGACAGATACCTTCAGTGTCCTTCTGTTTGAGCAATTATGCAACAGCAGAAAAAGCTGTGGCACTTGTGCGTGGCACTTTGCTGCTCCTGGCACAGCTGTGGAGACCCTGGAAAGCCTCAGTGCCTGTCAGCTGTGTGGGGAGGAGGAATCAGTGGCTGTCTCCAAAACACCCTTTTCAAAATTATCCTTCCTCAGAAGAAAACATCTGCAGTATCTACTCCTTGGAGCAGCCTTTGGGGTTGGACAAGAGAGTGGCTTCATGGTCCTCTGTTGGCACAGAGGCTCTTGGAAGAAGGGAGGGAAGAGGCCACAAAGGTGCCCAGTATGCAGGGCTTGCAGCTTGGGTGTTACCTCTCTGGGGACGTGCTTGGTGAACTTACAGAGTGTGGAGTTTTGGCAGGTACTGGAAAGCAGACTGTCCAACAAACTGGATGGGATTGTCATAAAAATGGCTGCAATGGGAAAGAGGAACAGGTCAGAGTCTGCTGCACACAAAGAGAAGATGCTGTTACAGCTCAAGAGCCTCAGAGCTACAGCAGCAAGCCATGCAGGAGGTGCTGCTGTGCTGTCAGGAATTCTTGTTCCCAGATAAACACAGGCTCTCCCACTGTCCTGTTTGGGCTGGATATTGCTACAACTGAGGTGTCCTGCTGCTCTGAGTGGGCCATTTGGGATCCTGCTGAACCAGATGGGCTGGAAAGGTGTAAAACCCTTCTTCAGTCCTTGAGAAACACCTTGCACTGGAGGACATCTCCTGTGGTCTCACACACAGCACCAGCACCTTTCCCACTTGTCACAGTCAGTGAAGTGAGCTCTTCTGAGACCCAGTGAGACATGGGAGGAGTTCAGTCACCTCCTACAAGAAGCACTTCCCCCCCACTAACTGTGAAAGACTTTAGATGGGCAGATGCAATGCAGAGATGAACGTTCTGGATGTATGGGCCCCACCATCACTCAGTGGATGCTGCCCAAGCAGATGGGGAGGAGGCTGGTTGTGCTGGCTGGAGCACTGAATGGTTTCACCCAGTGTCACCATGCCTTTCCAGATATTGATATTTCTATAATTTAAGTCCAGTTTGGACAAGCAGAGCTTTTGTCACTTGACATGGTTTTCAATAGCTGTGTTGTTCAGAGAAGTATCCAAAAATCCCTAACTGTGCCTGGGTCAGAGCAGAAACGACCTGACAGCTGGGTGTGTTTATCTGCAGAGCTTTGTGTCCCAGGTCTGGGCACACACAGGGATCTGGAATCCCAGCTCTGACACGTGTGGCTGCTGCTGTAGCTGGCCAGCAGCTTTTTTGAGCACAAGGAATAAACATCAGCAGATGTCAGCCAGGGCTTAGGTGGTTTCCATGCAGACCACCTGTGTTTTGTTCCTTCCTTGCTATCAGCCTGTGCTGCAGGGAAAGGAGAACCCACAGCAGCTCTGAGAAGGAGCCCAGAAGCAGCAATTTCAGCCTGCTTTGGCACATGGATAGCAAATATCAGATTGTTGTCATTGACCACTGTCAGAAATCCCAACTAAAGACAGCAGGAAATGCCCCTTTCTGGCAATATAAAGCTGTAGGAAACATTACTTAATTTTCTTACATTGTTTGGAGGAGGGGATTCCCAACGAATGCGTTCTCCGGAATAGCTTTGATGTTGTTGTTGTGAAAACCACTGTTGGGAGAAACAAATATCTTGATATTAATTAAATTAACCTTCTTTTTTCTCAACACTTTTAAAGCCAGAGAGCCTTCAAAATATTAATCAAATAGGAGATATAGGCTCCTTCCCAGGTGGTGCAGCATCATCCCAGCAGGTGAAAAAGCTCTGTGGTTTGGCAGGACAAAATCTGCAAAATCTGCTGCATTTACTCTGTGGGTGCTCCTTATGTGACTCCACCAACCCCACCGAGGGTACAAGGACTTCAGGTTTAACACTTTACAGGTCAGAAAACAGAAGCAAGCCAAAACAAGATTTTCTACCCACCAGGAACTACAATTTTTGTGGATGGTTTCCATAACAGCCCCACAGCTGCCAACCAGAGTGTGCCAGGAATTATCAGCCCACGTGACTTTAAAGGATTTGTAGCTCTAGCTGGGATATTTTTTGTTAACCATGAGAACCAACTGACAGAATCAGAGGACACAGTCTCAAGCTATGTCAAGGGAAATATAGGCTGCATATTAGGAAATAGATTTTTTACTAAAAGGATGATAAAGTATTGGAATGGCTGCCCAGGGAGGTGGTGGAGTCACCATCCCTGGGTGTGTTTAACAAAGCCTGGATGTGGCACTGGGTGCCAGGGTTCAGTTGAGGGGTTGGGGCTGGGTTGGACTCTATGATCTTGAAGGTCTCTTCCAACCTGGTCATTCTGTGAATTCTTTGAAAATTTCTATCAGCAAACTTTTTTTGGCAGAAGAGAGCTCTGTGGCCACAGTCTGACCTCCTGTACAGCAAAGGTTCCTGTGTCCAGGACTAGGACCAAGCTCTGGGTAATGCCCAAGTTGTTTATCCCAGAGGAGTCTGAGCAGGTGATTAGTTGATGATTGTTTGGAATTTGCCTCTTCTTCAGTGAAGGCATTTCAAAAGCCATCTCAAAGGGAATTAAGGATCTTATCCTCATTTTGAAGGTGAGGATGATGATGATATTGGGCTGAACATGAGAAATCTCACGAGAATTCTTCCAGTAAAGAAAAAAGTAGTGCCAGATTTTTACTCCAAGGCTCCCAGAAACACGAGAGCAGCTGCTTTTGTCCCACCCCAGCCTGGCCCCACTGACACAGGAACTGTGGGTCCACATCAACTCACCCCACCCTGGGGCTTCTACCTTTGGGTGATAAGTGGAATGGTTTCTTATTTTTGGTGTCTCCCAGGCTGACCAGTTAGAGGAAGGTGAGCTATCCACTGAAATGGTCATAAACTGGTAATTCCCTATTATAAATTTATCCTAAAGGAGATAAAACAGTTTCTTTGCATTAGAGGATGTGGCACAGTGCCTGCAGAAACTGTGGCCTCATAATAACAAGGTTAAGTCCAGGTTGTGGTCCCAAGCTGGGGAATGGACATCAGAAACAGCCAGAGAACAGATGGAATTTGAGCTCCTGAGATGCCACAGGAGAGTGAGGAGCAGTAGGAGGAACCTGCTCCGAGGCTGGCAGAGACTCCCACTCCCCTCCGAGGTGTGGAGGCTGGTGGGAGATGGTCAGGAGGATGGAAATCGAGGGGATAAACTGCTTTGAGGCAGTGGATAGGGCTGGGAAGGAAAAGAAAGGCTTGGACTGAGTGCTCTCCTCAAGTCAGAGCACACGTGATGCTTTACTGGTTACTCTCCCACAGGGAGGGGGTTTGAAAAGGAATAAATGGAAAATCTCACAGCTCCTGCAGCCGGCCCAGTGTCCTGATAGCCCCGGGGAATTCCAGCAGCTCGTTGTAGTTCAGATCCCTGAAAGACAGATAAGGGAAATACATAAATTAACATTTCTGTAGGGACTTGACCTTTGAAGCTGAGAACTTGGTCCTTAACATGGGAGACAGGTTTTTCCTGCCATGCTGATCCAGCCACTGCCTGGAAACACAATCTCACCCATTCCTGCAGCAGGAATATTGCTGCAGGAATATTTCCAGCTGGGAGCACTGTCAGGTGAGAGCCAGTCCAAGCCACGGCTGCTGCCATGGAGCTTCTCCCTGCCAAGTGTCCCGTGCCCAGCACTGGGCACTGGAGCTGCTCCCCATCTCCTGAGGGCCCTGGCCCCTTCTCCCAGGAACTCAGCCCCAGGCCTTTGGCTCTGAGTAATTTTTATTGTCTCTCCAGGTCAAAATGGGGTTCTTTGAAGGACAAGAAACATGAACAGCCTCAGTTGTGTGGGGCCCATGAAGGGCTTCTCGGGCCCCCTTGCTCTGTGGTGCAGAGGGGATCAGGGACCATCCCCTCAGTGGGGACATTCCTCATTCCCCTCTTCAGGACATTGGGTCTCCTTGTCACTGGACATGCTGTGGCTGGGAACAGGAGTCTGTGGGAGGACTTAGGTCTTCTTCTGATGGTTGGAGCCAACCTCACTTTGGAATCTGGGAGCCAAAGCTGGAAGTGATGTGCAAGAATTACTGACACTGTTGAGCATTAAGTCTAATTTGCTGTGTAGTGAAATAAATAAAATATACTATGTTGGTTGTAATGACAGGTGTAGAATTTATCCACCCTGACTTGGCAACTAAAAGAGACATCTGAGTCTGAATGAAATCTCAAGAGTTGTGTTTGTTCTCCAAGGATGGGCTTAACCTCTGGAAAAGGATTTATTTGACTTTTGGGGCACTGCTGGCAACTGGGAGAAGCAGCCCTTCAAAGGCACCAATCCTGCTATCGGCTGGAGGGTGCCCATGGAGACTGGCTGGGCTTTGGGTGTGCAGCACTTCTCTAGCATACCAAACTTTCTCCTTGGAAGGCAATTTCAGCTGTCACAGTAACATTTGGCACTGTCCTGGCCATCCCACTTTGCAATTCACTGAAGTCTGAAAGCCATGCGACTGCTTCCTACCTGCATGACACTCACCAGGTTTTAAGTGGTAGATACTTTGGAACATGATTACTGGCTCCTGGAGATTACTGTATAATTACACTTAATGAACCTCAAAGTAATTACCATGTAACCTGGATTGTGGTTTATGGAACAGAAATAACTGAGCATTTACACAGCAATGGGCTGCTGCCCAATTACCCTGTAATTCTCATCCTCTGGCCCAGGCATGGTCATTATGTTATGATCTCTCTTGGCCCCCTTGTCTCTTACATCTTCTCTCACTACCAGTGCCCCTGCTTGGGAACGACTCCATGGCACCAGCTCAGCTTTGCCCTGAAGGTGTTTACATGGGAAGTCAACCCAGAGAGTCTCTCCAAATAGGTCCTTCCAGGACTTCCAGTTTATATGATTTATGTCTTAGGGAATGCTTATCACAGAATTACAAGATAGGGCACAAACCCAAGAGAAAAATATGGAATGAGGTTGTTGTGGGCGGATTTTGTCAGGTTTAGCTCTGACAAGGTCCAACCAGACCTTGCTGCTGGATTCCCTGAGAAGCCCAGGTGCTGTGGCAGGTCCTGGTTTGGCAAGGTCTGTCCCCTGACACTGAGGGCAGTTTCCCCTCCTCCAGTTACACAGGGATCAGGATGCAGGTACTCTGTGTAGAGATTTGAGCAGATGAATCCTGCTCCTGTAGGACCCAGGAAGGGCTCATGCTGTCTGGCAGTGCTGGCAGTCAGCAGGGGAGGAGCACAGGCTGGCGGTGAGACCCTGAGCTCTGCCTGCCCACTGCCCACCCTGCAGAGTGGTGGCAGGGGCCCAGCACACCTGAAGCTGCTGTGCCTGTCCCAGGGCCCAGGAGTGGAACAGGAGTGGTGTCCCCTCCCCACATCTATCTAGGCAGGAGAGCTCTGCCTCTCCCTGAGCTTGCTCTGACACACTGTTCTCATCCTGCTCCAAGCAGATCAGTGCTTTTTCCTCAGACTTCCCCGCTTGAGCCCAAATTGATCTGTTCAAGAGTAAATAGCCCAACACATGACTGCTCATAGCCTCACTCTGGGCTTGTAGCTCCCTATCAGCTGCTTGGGTGCTCTTGGCCAGTGTCTGTAGATGGCACCTGCCAGTTCCACCAGGGCCTGGCTGAGGACTCTCACTGCACAGGCTTGGTTACCAGGGGCAGGACTGGTAATGACACATCCTTTCTCTGCTGCTCAGGAAGATACAGGAGTGGATTTCCCAAGTGAACAAGGAATGGGAAGTGCAGGCAGGACCCCACTGGGCATTTTCAAAGCATCAGTCAAATCTGGTTAACCTCCAGATCCCTGCACTGGTTGAAATCAGTCATTAGCAGCCTAAGTCGACTGACAGCCCCAAATTATGCACATAAGGTGCATAATAGCTTTAAAAATTTCACCCTGCAGTGACTCCCTGAAATTAGAGGGAGATTCCACAGGGAGCAGGAAGCTGCAGAGGTCATTCAAGGCTGGGTATCAGCCTGTGCCATTTCCCTCCCCTGTACCACAAACTGGGGCTGGGGTGAGACTGTGTGATGCCAAGAGATGGCTCCTGGTGAGCCCCAGACCCGGGTGACAGTCAGCCCATCACTGCAGTGTCACTGCCACTGTGGAGGCTTTCTGTGATGGCACAGGGCTGTTTCTGTGAGCTTCCAACAGATGGAAAGCATTGCCCAGCAGAGAGGAGCCTTGGCTCACCTGTGATTCACTAGCAGAACAAGGGATCTTAGATCTGCAACCGGTATTATTTACAAGGAATAATTCATTGTGCTGTAATATTTGCTCCTGTCTTTAAAAATGTGTTTCCTTTCCAGCCTGCACCTCTTCCAGGCAGGCTGGTCTTTCATCAGCAGATGAAGGTTCTGTTTGTACCTCCGCATGTGAGCAAGTACGTACAGGACCAGCTCTTCCTGAGCGAACACACACCGTTCCCAGCCCTGGCAGCATCCTGGGGCCTCCCTCCCCTCTGCACTTGACACATACAAAGAGCACTCATTGTGTTCAGCAGTTCCCGCTGGGTAAAATCCCATCTTGGAATGCTGGCAGCCACTGGGCTTGTTGGAAAGTGGAAATGCACCAGGTGTAGTCACGCTGCTGCACCCCGGCTGCCAGCGACCCCGTTCTGTTCTGCTCAGAGGAGTCAATGTGCCTGTGCTCGTTCCTGCCCTGCTTCCTGGGTTTTGGGGAGGTGAGCCTCCCTCCTGGAAAGAGCCCAGCTGCTGTGGGGAGCAGGTCCCTGGGTGCTGCTCCCAGGTGGCTGCTCTGGATGGCGTGCTGCTCTCACTGCCCTGAACTGTCCCCAGGGCAGCTCCCAGCCCAGCTCTGCCCGGTTCATGGGTTAAGCTGGCTGGAGGGGGCTGGAAGAAACCAGCACTCAGGATGGTCCTCAGGTGCCATCTCTTCCCTGCAGTGGGGCCACTCTTCCCAAAGCCCAGACCCAAACCATGACATGAAAAAGTTTTCCTGTCCCTTCTTCTTTCACAGAACTGGAGTTGAGCTCTGGTCCAAGCAATGACCCAGAAACAGCATTCAACCTCCAGCAGGGTGTTCCTGTCCATGGGGAAGTTTCTGTTCATTTGGTGAAATCCAGTCCTCAGGTCTTTCCACAGGTGCTGTCAGGCTCCATCTGGCCCAGACATCTCCTCTGTGCCTGCTGTCCCATGGGAGTTTGGCCCAGCCCATATGCCTGCTGGTGGATCTGTAGAGCTTCTTCCCCAGCACAGGGTCAAAGCAGATTGGAAGGACTCACAGCTCTGTGGGTCAGAGATTATTTTGCTTTTTGGTTCAGTGGCAACGAAATTTCCTCTCCTGAGCATGTCAGGGAACTGCCCATCAATCACAAGCCCTCTCCAGGAGCTGGAGATGTAGGAAATGGAGGTGCTGGAGCAAACATCTTGAAGGGTTCCCTTCCTCTCCCTGCCTTACCTGAGGTACTTGGGCAATGCTTTGCTTCCCTAGCTCTAATTCTGCCACCTTCCCACTGCTTCCCCATTCGAGATGAAGCAGGGAAAGCTGCAAAAAGCCACTTCACTGTTCCCACTGCGCTGCTTGGCACGGGCTGGGGTGGCCCAGCAGGCCTCTTGGCCCAAGAGAGCTGGACCTGGCAGTGCTGCCCCAGCTCTGGGCTCTGACCAGTCCCTCCCAGTGCAGCTCTGATCTCCACCGAACATCCCAGCAGTGTCCAGGATGTGGCTGATGCACCCAGGACTCCTGTCTGCTCTCCTGTCACTTTGTTTGTGACATGTGGGATTTCCTGGCTGTGGAGTGCTGTCCTTTTTGCTCCCAAGCAGATCAATGGCAGTGTTACTTGGTGGAAGGATGGCAACACACCATGGCCGTGCTATGCCAAACAATAGGGAAGCCTCACAACAACAAAAAATGAATTAAAGATAATGAGCATGACATGAGGGAGTTTTCCCCATTATCAAGGGCTTTTGAAAGCAAAGTCAGGCAGGCAAGAGGTTCAGAACTGATGTGCAAGAGCAATGGCTGTGAATAATCCCTTTCCTCAGCTAGGTTCAAAGTTACCAGCTGTAGCATGGCAGTGGGATGGCAGGAGGAGCCTTGTCTGTTCTTCAGCTTGAGATGAAAGCCTCTGAAAGGTCACCCAGTCTGCCCAAGACACAGTCAACTGGCTGGCTTTCCATTGTTTTTATTGCTAGAGGGAGCCTATAGCTTCATGTTTGGAAGATCTTAACCAACACTGTTGTTTATTTAGAAATAAAAGTAAGTTGACATCAAAGGCCCAGTTATTTTGGGCTTTAACTGCCAGGGTGATTTGAAGCTGACAGCAAGCAGCCTGGAACTATTAATATCTTCAGTCATGCCAAAAGGAGAGAAGGAGGGGAAAGAGTCTTAGGTCAATTTTCTGCCTGTTAGGGACTATTAGTGGTTCCACACAGGAAGCCAAAAAA